CCTTCTATCCTAAAAAAATTGTACAATACTTCTCTGAAAAACTTAGAACTTTACAGGAAACAAAATCCAAGTGACCCTCTAGATGATATGTTATATTACTCTACGTATAGAATAAATTATATTCTTAATGACGATCACATGAAAAATTAGAAACATAGAAGACATAGGACTGAAATTGAAAACCAGAAAATCCCAGAGAGCCTACAAGTGATGAAGCATGTTCAATCATCGCGCAAATTCTTCTAAATTTTTGCACTCACAAAATTCTTTTAGCTACTCCCATGGCTAACAAATACTTAGTCAATTCTTACTTCTGAGAAACAAGTCAATAGCTTGTGTGTTTTGTCTATCCACTAACCCTTCACTTCTCAGAACAGGTATAATTCTCTCGCTTTCTAAAAAACCTCCGAAAATCAAGGAAGTCCCTTTGACTCGAGTCGCTCCACAATTCAAAAGTATAATTAGGGCTAATCAAACATGAGCCAAAAAAAATGGCCTTTTCAGAGAAAATTTAAGCTATCATACTTATTTCAAAAACTATTACGTCCCGCTAATTTCAATCTTTTTATTAATTATAGAATTGATGTCTTCTGTTTGCCATCATACTTTATACTTTGTACTTTGTATCTTGTACCTTGGATCTTGCATATTGCGCCCTACGCAACGTTTTGCCCTGTCGAACCCCGACCAAGATACCTCTACCAGACTGAAGCTCGGACTTTAATATCGTTCTTTGTGTAAACCTCCCTTTTGTTTAGAAAGAGGGTACACGGATAAGAAAGTTAAATCTTCTATTTTAATTTTAACAAGTGTTACGTATTGCTTATATTCAACGTCTGGAGAAGTTGATTGTAGAAGCTTTCAAGACTTTGATGATAAATTCAAGGCTAAAGAATGAATAAAAAATGTAACTAATTCAAACCCCGGACGCCATTAAATTAACAACTTACTTTCTTAGAATTTTAATCAACATACATTTTATAAACTATAAAATCCCAGACGATGGCGCTGACGTGAAATTAACCTGATGTAAATATCAGAAACATTAGGAAATAGCATTAGAATCTTATGTTAATATAATAATCTACAAGATTTATAGTTTATTCGTCTTCCGGGTTTGGACCGTGTCATTTGTGAGTGACCCAAAAGTGGGTTCATCTCGACGTTTCGCTACAATTGTATGTAGCTTCTTCAGGAGAACAAAGAAAAAGAAAAAAGAAAACAAAAGAACAGGAAGATGGGTAGTTAGCAACGGTAACTCAGTTACTCAACGCAACCAGAGGCGAATACTAACTACCAAGATGGGCATTTGGTCACAGTAACTCAACTACTCAACGCAGCCAGAGGTGAAAACCAAATGCCAGGACAGGGATTCACGTCCAACAGCTCAGAACACTAACGCGTCGAGAGGCGGGGAGTGAATCCGACGATTACTCCACTACCGCTCTATTTATAGTCGCGGTGCCTGTCGTGTCGGGACGTATCGGCACACTTCGTGGCGCGAACGTCAAGAAGCGCGCGCTGGCCAATCATGTGGCTGCATCGTGGTGGCGGGACCGGACGGTGGCTCTAGACTGAGATTCCAGATGGGAGACAAGTAGTATCCTTCCTCTCGATTGATATTATGGGGATTTTTTCGGATCTCTAGAGATTCGCGGATTTTCCTCGAATAAAAGAAGGGGCTCTTAGAAATAATATGGGTTTTTTCGAACAATATGGAATGACCGGTTTCTTGGCAGTGTTCAGCAACTGCAGAATGGGAGAAAAGACCTGATCGAATGCATCTTTGATGCTCTTGAATCCGAGTTTTGACGGAACGACCTTCTTCTTCTTCTTCTTCAAGTGCCCTGTCCGTTGCGAACGTTGGCTATTAACATGGCAATTTTGATCTTGTTTGCGGCGCTCCTGAATAGTTCGACCGATGTGAGCCCGAACCACTTCCGCAGATTTTGGAGCCACGAGTGTCTTCTCCTGCCTGGCCCTCGCTTACTGTCTATTTTTCCCTGGACAATCAATTGTAGCAGACGGTACTTATCGTGTCTCAATATGTGGCCTAGATATAGAAACGGAACGACCAGTTTCGCCAATATACACATGTCCACATGAACAAGGAATAGAATAGACACCACAGGAAGATAGGGGCGGTAATGGGTCCTTAGGAGAGGGTAGATATTGTGATTATTGTGAGATTTTCTTGGGTGGTCGAAAAGTAGTCCTGATACCTTCTTTGCGAAGAATTTTGCCAATCCTATCAGTGACATTTCGAATATACGGAAGAAAAGCCACAGGAGTATTACCTGAAGATTCTGAATTTGTTGTCCTAGGGTGTAAAGGGGGATGTAGATGTCGGTGTGTAATATTTTGAATTGTGGACTTGGAGTAACCATTGGCGACAAGGGTTTTTTGCAGATGGCCAAGTTCTTCTCTAAGGTTGTCGGGTTCAGAAATCGAAATGGCCCGATGGATGAGAGAGTTGATCACAGAATTCTTTTGGGCCGGATGGTGGTGTGATGAAGCATGTAGGTAACGATTCGTGTGAGTCTTTTTTCTATAAACAGAGTGACCCAATCGGCCATTGGGCTTGGAGGTGACTAACACATCGAGAAAGGGAAGGGACCGATTATTTTCTACTTCCATTGTGAATTTTATACTCGGATGTTGTGAGTTAAGATGATCTAGGAAGGAAGAAAGGGTATGTTGACCATGGGGCCAGATGATAAATGTATCATCAACGTAGCGGAACCAGACTTTTGGTTTTAAGGGGTAAGATTCTAGGGCTAAAGACTCAAAGGCTTCCATGAAAATGTCAGCAATGACAGGGGAAAGGGGAGAACCCATTGGTGTTCCAGATATTTGTTTGTAGAAATTGCCTCTAAAAGAAAAATATGTTGAAAGGAGGCATTTTTCGGCAAGATCTGCCAAAACCAAAGACTTGTTATCATTGGTCAAGTGATCTCGCAGAACAACTAGAGAGTCATGTATGGGGATATTGGTAAATAGGGATGATACATCGAAACTGACGAGAATATCTTGGGGATCGACTGTGAGAGAGGAGATTAAGGTGATGAAATGTGTGGAATTTCGGACATAAGAAGAGGTACGACCAGTATAGGTCTTAAACTGATTGGACAAGTACTTTGCGAGTTTGTAGGTAGGAGAGTTAATCGTAGTCACAATGGGACGAAGAGGTACGTTATCTTTATGGATTTTCGGAAGACCATAAATTCTGGGGCAGATGGAGTTTTTTGGAACTATGGACTTCTTAACATCATCGGAAAGATCGGATTGTTTGATGGCATGGGAAATTTCGCGTTCGACTCTAGGAGTGGGGTCTCGAGAAATTGTATTATAACAGGATGTATCCCTAAGTAAGTCGTTTACTTTCTCTATGTAGGAAGGAGTATCCAGGATGACTGTGGCATTACCTTTGTCTGCAGGAAGGATTATTATCTCAGAAAGAGAACGGAGATTTTTGAGAGCTATGAATTCCTCACGAGATATATTGGAAGTAGGGATTTTGGCTGTATCAAGACATTTAGCGACGTCAAAGCGGATACGGTCGGCTGGAATTTTGGGAATTGTGCGGAGTGCCGCTTCCACATTTGAAACTATTTCTTCGGTAGGAATTCTGGAAGGAGTGATAGCAAAATTAAGACCTTTAGATAGAAGACTGCTTTCTGCACTTGTTAATTGGTGAGAAGAAAGATTAACGACGGTGTTAATGAGAGGTGAATGAGAAGTAGAAGTGGTGGAATGTGATTTTTTCTTAGATACAAGGGATTGGAATTTCTTTTTGTGAGTTTCGTTGCTTAGAAGAAGGATTTTATCGGCTTGATGATAGGAAATGCGGTCTAAAAGTGACCAATCATCGACACTAAGAATACTGGAGAGATCAAGATGCAGCTTAAAAAGTTTTTGGGATTGAAAATTAAGGGTTTTTCGAATATGTTGAATCCGTTCACGAAGTAGAGATAGGCTGGCTCGATGTAGAATTCGGGAAGAAGATGAAGAGGAAATGTGATGTTTTAGAACAAGAAAATTGGGAACCAAGTTATTATCACGACATCTAGAGAGGAAGGTGAGCGAAGAAAGTAGAGATGAAACTTTAGAGCGAAGATTGGAGAATTCTGAGGTTTTGCGGAATATAACCTCCCCGTAGAGGTTGGTCAAATGAAATCGTAGGCTTCCACGGCCAGAGTCAGAATTATAGTTTATTCGTCTTCCGGGTTTGGACCGTGTCATTTGTGAGTGACCCAAAAGTGGGTTCATCTCGACGTTTCGCTACAATTGTATGTAGCTTCTTCAGGAGAACAAAGAAAAAGAAAAAAGAAAACAAAAGAACAGGAAGATGGGTAGTTAGCAACGGTAACTCAGTTACTCAACGCAACCAGAGGCGAATACTAACTACCAAGATGGGCATTTGGTCACAGTAACTCAACTACTCAACGCAGCCAGAGGTGAAAACCAAATGCCAGGACAGGGATTCACGTCCAACAGCTCAGAACACTAACGCGTCGAGAGGCGGGGAGTGAATCCGACGATTACTCCGCTACCGCTCTATTTATAGTCGCGGTGCCTGTCGTGTCGGGACGTATCGGCACACTTCGTGGCGCGAACGTCAAGAAGCGCGCGCTGGCCAATCATGTGGCTGCATCGTGGTGGCGGGACCGGACGGTGGCTCTAGACTGAGATTCCAGATGGGAGACAAGTAGTATCCTTCCTCTCGATTGATATTATGGGGATTTTTTCGGATCTCTAGAGATTCGCGGATTTTCCTCGAATAAAAGAAGGGGCTCTTAGAAATAATATGGGTTTTTTCGAACAATATGGAATGACCGGTTTCTTGGCAGTGTTCAGCAACTGCAGAATGGGAGAAAAGACCTGATCGAATGCATCTTTGATGCTCTTGAATCCGAGTTTTGACGGATCTACAAGATTATTATATAAAAACGTGCAATGAACATTTGTATATAATGTAAAGATATAAAAAATATACTCACTATCCCCAGCTCCCGAATTATCTGGCTCCAAAGTCCATATTTGTTTCTTTTTGAGAGACGTGCCATTGGCGTTTATTTTAAAACCGAACGTTTCAGCCGTTAAGTATCTGAATTTGGAATTGATGATGCCGATGGTCCAACAACCCTTCTGTTGATTCTGGGTGATAATGTCTCCGCAGCCGTTGAACTCGCTTCCGCCGTTCGTGTGATGATCCACTCCGTTCATTGTTGTAGGGATGATTTAAAAACTGGAACAAAACGGTATTTTGTTATTATAGAGTTAATAAGTAGTAGTTTATTTTTATTACGTGGAATCTACATTGAAAGTATTTGCAAGTGACTGTAATGTGTGAAAAAGTTTATCTATTTATAGTTAAAACATTAAATTAAATAAAACTTTAACAGGGGCAATTTTTTACAAAATAATACATAATACCTTACCGGTGTTGTCAATGAAATTTCTTTTAAAAACGGGCCTTCTACTATAATTGAACCACCTGTTAGAAGAAGGGAATAAACGCCAAAATATGGCGAAAAATATGTATATCTTTTAATGCTAGAACCATCTGTTCTTCTGTTCGCGCTAAGTAGGGAATAAACACCATATAACTTACAGAGATATTCCAACACGAAATGTGTGACAGTTTTAAGAAGTTTTTTTAGACAGTTTTATAGTGTATTTTTATGTATGAGAGAGTAATAAAATAATAAATTATGTATGCAAATCCCTAAACTGTTGATACGGGTGACTCAATGAAAAACAGATATTTGTCAACAAGTTTACAGAAGTATATAGGAAAACAATTTTAAATTGAGTATGACCACCAGGTATAAAGGTTGGAGCAGAATAGAATACAATAGTTGTGAGGGTTACTAATCCCTAAATAAGGTTGCCAGTGTCGGAGTGATGGAGGTTAACATGTACTAATGAATTTGCAAGAAATGTAAGATGTTTATTTTATTGGTTATATATAACCAATAAAAGTTTAATAAGTACCTACCTATTTGCAAAATAAAGTTTAATTCTTTAGATAAAATAAAACGTTTTATTTTATCTGAAATGAGTGCATTCCACGAAGTAAGGGTTTCAACAATCAAACATTTAATTCTTTAATTCCAGGAATCTACGACAGTAATTGACTAGATAATTACCTTCTAAACTTATTCCACAGAAAATGTGATAGTGGGTTTTTCCATTTTGTAGGAAGGTCCAAGTGGCGTATTCAAAATTCTTAAGAGTTCACTAAAAGTAGGTACTTCAGTTGCAAGGTGCAGTTTATTGTGTATACTAGTGTTATGGAAAATTTGGAAGTGCCGTGTAAACGCCGAAAAATTGGTCCTTTAACAGTTAATGAAAAAACATTAATATTTAATTGTTTTAAATCATTTACAGACAAACGTTTATGTGAAAGTGTTGATGAGACCGTTGAGTTAGTTAGCAGTACACTTGGTGTTGGGAAATCTACTATTTACAGAGTTATTAAAGAAGAGAAATGTGGAAAAATATTACGTACCATCCCGGATCTATAAGAAAGGAACTTTATTCGTTGTGTGCCCTTCATAAAGAAAAAATTTAAAAAATACGAAATTGATGAAATTGCCGAAAATCGTAGAATGACAGTACTTAGATCCCCACCATATCATTGTGAATTAAACCCGATTGAACTGGTATGGGCACAGATAAAGAGTGAAGTTTCAAGAAAATGCCACTTTTAAAATTCATGATGTTAAACAGTTGTTTTTGGAGGCCGTAAATAATGTAAAACCTGAAAACTGGGAAAAGGCTAAATCACACTATTAAAGAAGAGGAAAAAATGTGGAAGCTGGACAATATTACTGATAAAATGATCGAGCCAGTTATTATAAATCTTGGTTCTGAAAGTTCATCTTCTTAATCTGATTTGGATTTGTAACAAGTAGCTGTAAGTTTTATATTAATATTTTTATTCATCTATTTAACATACCTTAGACGGTTTTAAAAACTCCTTTTCTCTTTTGTAATTTTTAAAAATTAAAAAAAATGTGAATTTTTTTAAAACCCTTTTTAATGTAGGCCAGTCAGTTCTAATATAGTGTGTGATAAAAGAGGTCACTTTTGATTACATACACATAACACTTTATAACACTGAAATAATTCATTTATTTTTTACAATTATTCAAAGTAATTTTTCAATTAATCTTGAGCACGCCCATGGAGTGGTCAAAGGTACCAGTTAAAATTATGCTAATTACTCTCTCGTTCATAAAAATAAACTATAAATGTTAAGTCGTTTTTCGTACAGAGACCGAGGCGTATAGGATGGGCCACCCTGTATATTGTTTATAAGTAAAAAATGACGTTTAATCTACATTTTTTATTCACAAAATGTATCAAAAGCAGTTCAATACAGAAACCTGTATCAAAGGGTGTCACGAAAAATGTTTTTTATTTGCTAATTTCTCATCCACTAAAAGAACATCACAGCTAAAAAACTTGAGTTTAAAAAAAAGGTACTTTTATTAACAAATCTTTTCAAAAATACACAAAATATAAACGTTACATCCAAATGGAGTAAGCAGTAGAAGAAGAAAACGATTTATCTTCTAAGATACCGATCTTTGTACAACACAATTTTCGCCACCATTTGACGATCCAAACTGTAAAATCATCTTCCCAGCTAGCACAAAAACGTAATTACCCATTATTTGTAAGGATCGTTCACCAAATTAGATATTAATCGGTTTTTGTAATTAGCGTACCACTATGGGCATATAAAATCGGAAATAGCTACTTTTTATTAATTATGTGGCATCCTAATTACATCTTTAGATCAAAATGGCAATTAACGAAATTTTACAAGCGTGGAAAGCAACACGCTGTGACTATTGTTAGTAAATAATATCCGTTTGAACACATTCTTAAATTTTACAGTTACTCCGCTGCTGTTATATCGCCTATTCATCTCGATTCGTCTGGTAATGTAATTTATTCTAAGTACACTATTGAAATTCGGAACTGATTTGGAATTCGTAAGTGTTTTATTCAAATTACAATTTACTTTATTCTCAGTGTAGATTAGGCGGTATGTGTTTTGGGTTGCAATCCAAGCTGTAGAGACAAAAATGAATGATATTAAGCATTAATTAGCGAATTTTTGAAACCACCACAGCGTTATGAAGAGCAATGCTTGGAAAAACCTGCAAGTACCTGCATCTCCAAGTTGTTAGTTATAATTTTTTGTGGCAATTTTAAGGTGCAAAAACGATGTTTTTTAAATATTTTTATTGCATCAAAAGTATCGTATTTTGTAGAAAATTGAGCAGTGTATTTTGAAGGATAAATGCTTATTATTTACATACTGTCACTGTCACTGCCAAATCTTAAAATTTGTCAGATAATTTATTCTGTTCAACCTCATAAATGGCTCCACATGCTAGCAAAAAACTAAAAGTAAGAATTGTAACGAAATTAGAAGATGGTTGGTCACTATCTGCCATAGCGAACCATTTTAACGTAAGCAGAACAGTGTTTAATATTAATAAAAGATGGAGAGAACAATAAATTCACGAAAGAAAGCAAAGTTCTGGAAGACCAAAAATATCTACCCCTCTGAAGATCGTACGCTTTTGGATAAATTAGAAAAAAATCCTTTTGAAGATACGAAAACTGCAAGAATCATATCAAGATATCGAGCAACTGGTCATTTTAGCATCAAAGTATGGGGATGGATTTCATCTAGAGGAATAGGAATGGTATGGCGTATTGATGGCTGGTGGGTAATTTAAATGCTTTGGTGGCTTTAGGACGACAAAATCCACGCCTAGAGTTTCGAAAATCGAAGAGTAAAAGTGTGCCCAGGAACTGTCCGTATATCATTGAAAAAGCAAGGCTACATATCAAGGAATCAAAAAGAAATGCCTATAATGACACCTCTGCAAAGGCAACGAAAAATAGATTTTTGTCAACGTTTTTGAAAAGATAATTTTAATAATGTTTAATATCTGATGAAAGTTATTTTCAACTTGGTGCAAATCATCTAAAAGTCCTATCAAGAGAAAATGGTACGGTTCAAATTTTTAAATTTCCCACTAAAATAATGGTTTGGGAAGCAATATCTCAGCGTGGTGCTACACCTCTCTGTATAGTTAATGGTACTGTTGATAGTGCGAAATATTATTACATCCTAAATGGTTTTCTTCTTGAAACGGGTCATGTTTAATATCTAGAGGGGTGGCGTTTTCAGCAAGATAGTGCAAGATGCCATACTTCAGATTATACTCAAGCTTGGATGCAAGAACACGAATTGGCAATAATTCCGTGGCCAACAGCATCTCCAGGTCTTAGTCCCATTGAAAACATATGGGGACTAATAAAGATTGAAGTGGACTCACCAGCGCCACGAGATGAAGAAGGTTTGATTCGGTCAGTTTTACAGGCCTGGAACACCATTACCGAAACTTACGGCATGGACCTAGTTTGGGGTGTATCTGGACGTTTAGTTAAGTGTTTAGATTTAAATGGAGGTTGTATAAGTAAATGAGATAGATTATTTGTTGACATTTTATATTTCAAGTAATAGAAATAAATACCGTCAAATTATAATTCTGCTTTCTTTTTTTAGGATACTTTCTAGACGGACTATAATAACAATAACCCTGTATTATGTGAAAACTATCATTTATATACTCTTTATAAAATGCAGGAATTCAAAATAATATCACATGTAGAGCTTAATAATTATTACAATTTATGAATTAACATATGTAAACAATTGTTTGTTGTTTGTTTGTTTATTTTATTATTTGTCTGTCATATAGGAAAAATACAAAAGAAAAAACTTTCAAAAGGAAAATTACAGGTCAAATAAATGAAGTAATGAAGTGGTTAAGACAACAGAGCCATGAAACAGGTGACGATTCTCAATGTAAGAGACTTAAGTGTTTTAAAACAGTAGATCAACAAAACCGACCAAACATTATAAACAATTTTAAATGTATGATGCATGATAAACAAAATATTTACTTGGCAGACCGAATAACGTTAATGCCCGTAAAGCAAAGAAGAGCCTGAGATGAAACTACATCAAGATTGCATGATGCAACGTATTCTTTTAGAGTTAGAATAACGACTAACAATAAAACTACTGACGTCCCAGTTTGTTTTAAAGCTTTTCTAAGTCTTCATGGAATTGGTTGGAATAGGCTTGAAAATATTTAAAAAATTTAAAAGCTACTGGTAATGCACCAATTGACAAACGAAGAAAAAATC